AATTAAAACTTCATATAGTAACCTTGAACTTTACATCTTTGGAATATTTACTCTATCCTTATTATAGGTGATAGAAAAATAGGCATATATTTTCCTCTCCCCCACCCCCCACCATTCTTTACCACCGAATGTTAGGCAATAGGTGACCTTTCTTAGTATCTTTGTTTTCTACTTTTCAATATGTTTATACTTTTCTGACTTGATTTAATTGGTTTAAAGGATATCCACTGATTCCTAGATACTGAGAATGAAGCAACTAGCTAATTTAGTATAGGCACCAACTTCCTTCTTTTGTGCCCGCCCACTTTTTTTAGCTGCTTCAGTGCTACAGGATATTATACTTTTATGCACTATTCTGTCACCCTGATCTACATTTTATTTGATTCAGCTTGAGTTAAATACGTTCAATGCTCACAATTACTGGCAGTTCTTTTGCAGTAGTTTCTACAGTTACCCCTTGGTTTGATGGAGTTTGTCCCTTAATAGTTGTCTCAAGAAAGGCCCATAATAACATAACTTCCTGAGTTCCTCTAGGTTCAGAATATTTGTCTCAAGCTTTGATACCTTGAAACAAAGTTTGGCTGGCTATAAAACCCTTGGTGTCTACTTTATTCCCTGTAATGATGGTGAATTAATGATCTAAATCTTTGTTGGATATCTCAATTTTTTACTAGGAGGTTTTTTTTTTTAAGTTTTGCCAAAGTTGGTCTACTTGAAAACTTCTAATAGAGCATCCTATAGTCTCTTCTATATAAAACCCTCTAAATAGTCCTCTTCTCCAGTATAAAAGAAACAAGGCATTGAAGAAAAGTTCTTAAGGTCAAAATAGCTTCAAAGTACCTTTTAGTAGACTTAATGATTTTTTTATTCCATTAGTTCATGTCACTGCATCTTCCTTGCCCTCCTTGTGCCTTCCTCATAGTAGTCTTTGAAAGCAAGTCAGAGTTGTGTCAGAGCTGTGTCAGAGCTGGAAGGGCCCACTATGATCATCCGGTGCAAAGGCCTTTTTTAGACTGAGGAAACTGATGCCCAGGGAATGGTAAAGAGATCTTCCCAAGGCCATGCCAGTAACAGGAAGTTGAGTCTGACCTTGAACTCCAGTGAGTCCCAGGCAAGAATTCTTCCTACTTCAATGAGTCTTTCAAAAAAATAATGATCTTCTGCATGTGTGTGTGGTGAAAACATTAAAATCTACTCTCTTAATTATGTGAGGCAATGAATATGTTAACTAGTCTTTTTTTGGTAACAATTTTGTAATATATACATGTATCAAATCATCACGTTGTATACCTTAAACGTACATAAAGTTGTATGTCCATTATATTGCACTAAAGCTGGAAAAATGCAATAATAAAAAATGCTTTATTGCTCTGGAAATAACTCAATGTATGCCCTCTTACTTAGGAGAATTTACCTGCTGTCTGCTTGGTAAGTATTATTTCATGTTTTCTTTCAAATATTTATGGAATGACACATGCAGAAAAGCTCTGTCAGAGAACTTTCAGTGGGTTTTTTGTTCATTTACACAAATTGTCACTTCCATTTTCTGTTTCTTGAAACTGGGAAACTTCAGATAAATACAGAGTTTGTTTTCCTACCCCAAACTCCCTAAACCATCATTTTGAAATCAAATTACACAGCTTATGCTTAAAACATAAGGGCCAGATTCTATCTTCAAATATACCACCCACTCTCTAACAGCAGAATTTGGCCCTAAAAACCCATTAACAAATATTGTCATTAAACTAAACAGCTAATTACTTTGGATTCAGACAGAATGAACAAAAATCATAGGCCGACCGCAGCTGGTAGTGATAATGGCGAGACTAACCGTATGTTGCATTGGAGATTTAAAGAACAAAGACATATTAATACTAATGTAATCAAAAATACAAAATTGGCCTCCAAATGGAGATAACCGTTATATTTAGAAAAGTCTTGAAAGCACATTGGTATCATCTAATACAAGAAAGGAAGTCTGTTTCTAATCAGTGCTTAATAAAGAGTGAAACTTGAGAAATTCCTTCTGTTGCAATATTCCACAAATGAATTACATCTAAAAATCATTTTGATCTAATAGGAAATACTACTCTCATAGTCACATCAGTGTAATACTGTAAAATGAAAGGGCTTGCTTTAAGGCTATTTTAAATAACTGGTAGCAGAGCTATGTGATAGTTCTACAAAAGTGAATTAACCAGCTAACTGAATATTTTCCAAGCCCTCAAAAATATGTTAAAATTATATTAATAATGCATATTTTAGAAAAAGTTTTATAGACCCTGAACAGTAATAAAATCAACCATAATTTCATCAATTGAGCATAATTATTAATAATATTTTAGTATCTATTACTTCAGTTTCTCTTCCTATGCATCTGTAGCTTTTTAAATAAAAGAGGCCATATTCATAATATGGTTTTATAACTTGTTTTCACTTACAGCATAATGAACATTTCCCCACAGTAGTAATTACATGTTTACTGCATACATTTTAATGACTTCCCAACTTCTTAAATTGAGAATAATAAACACATTTTTATCTTTTAGGATATCTCACAAGTATTATAATACTGTTTTATAATAACACTATATTCCCCAGAGATTCTTACATATTTAAGTCTCCTTTCTCCTCTACTGAATGGTCTCAGATGGCTCTACTGTTCATGAACTATAACTTACTTTTAGCTCTAATTTCCCTCAATATCAGATGTCCGTACAAAGCTGACCCAGCCTGAAATACACCTAAACTTCTTGTTTTCATTTCTTGATTAATGACATGGAAGATAATCCACAGATGACTAAAATAATTAATAATTTTAAATTCAATTACATTTATAAGTACTCAGGTTTTTTTCTCCATTTCTTCAACTTTCATCTTGGAGGAAAATTTCTCACTATCTCCCTTACCCAAGAAATCATTATTGAAAAGCACTTAGTTTCTCCTGGTTAGTACGGCATACCTGACCAGTTTGATATTTCCTGCTCTTCATATCAAGCTTTCATATGGAGAGTTTGGAAGAAATACGGAAGACCAGACTAGAAGATCTCAGAGGTCCATTTGTGCTCTGAAACTTTATGCTTCTATGCCTCTATGGTTCTATAAAGTTTTTGTAATTTATTCTTTTGTTGTATATTTTACTCCCTGAGTGTGAAGGCTGCCTCACGCAGGTTCCCTGAAACCGCACTGTGAGTTTTCTTTAGGAAGCCGCAATTTAAGATAAATACGCCAATGATCATGAACGTGACTCACTTGAGGAACCAATTCCAGTCTCTCCACCTGCTCCTCTGCAAAGTGAGAAAAATGAAAAAGGAAAAGCAAAAAAGACAGAGCCAAGCAGGAGTTTCTATGTTATGCTTTTCTGAATTGAGAAAATACAGATTTGTACTAACTTAAATCTAATTTGGAGACTTCATTGAATCAAAAGCTTGTGTCCTATATACTTCAGGATTTTACAATCTTGTGTACTATATATTTTAGGGTTTTATCATCAGATATGACAATATTACTATTAAGAATAATTCTGACACCAAATGCTTGTGAAAATTTATTATTATAGTTAGTCCAATTACACTAATCTCTAGTTTTGATTACTTGAAGAAGTGTTGCCTCATTACATATGTATATGACTATATTAATTTCTTTGTGTAATACCAATAGCTAACATGTATACCTATTTGGCATTATAAGAAAACACTTCTTTCTGATTAAAGGTTTATTTTTACCTTTTGATATTTTATGGACAACAAGTTCTACAAAATATGAACAAGTATACACAAAGACTGACAGGAGAGAAGAAAATATTTGTCAGCTTGAAATTCAATCAGAGGAGTTTAATTAAAAACCTTACTTTTTACTATAAAAACAGTATCACATTGTACTTGTCTGGAATCATCACAATTTAAGATCTGGATATGTCTCTACTAATTGCTTCTTTTACTGAAATTATAAAAGAAAATATTTTATAAAGTTAAAACTGCAAATAATAAAAGTGAATTTGCTAAATGAGATGTAGAAACTAGAAATACAAAAAAGTGATAATAAATGTACATGTAACCTGTTATATAAATATATCATGTGACTTATACATTTTTATTTGTAAAAGAAAGAGTAGCTAATGATGTATCAAGCTGATCTGTTCCTTTGAAATCTAAGGCTGAGTTTTAAAAATAAAGAGAAAAAATATCCCCTCGAAAATGTATAAATGCTTAGCCAACCTTGGTAAGAGCTCATTATTTTCATCATGTAGTTATTTCTTGGAAATGGATCAATAACCATAACATCTGCATAAATTACAACACTACACAGAACAGAGAGCCAGCTGAAGAGAGCAGTGACAGGACCGTCACTCTGAAAGAGAAATAGAGACACCTGAGAATGTGCTCAAGATACTGCATCTTTAAAAGGAATATTACAGAGAATTAAGAATTCAATTTGAAGGGGTTGAGAAAAAAGCACTAATTTAGTGCCTCTGTTCTAAAATCATCCCTTATTTATTCTTGTGACTGGAGGAAATGACATGAAACCAATTTAATATAAGTCATTGTTTCTCAAAACCTCAAGACCCACCCATCAGGATCACTCTGGGGTGGGTAACTGCAAAAACTAAGATTGCTGGGCCACATCCCAGACCTAGTGAATCTCTCCGTGAAATATGTGCAGAAATCAGCATTTTAAGGGCCTTCTCCTATCCCCATGTCACTCTTATGCACATTTAAATTTTAGGACCAAAACACAATGTCATACTATTTTCTGTAAAACTGATGACCAGATATCAAACTCACCATTGTGCCTTGACTGTGTATACATATAAATGGCACACAGCAACTTTTAAACTTTGTATTTTATTTTCCTTTTTGTTGTGAAACTGTACATAGCTAGCTATTATATTCTATCACTGCTTTTACTTTTATATTATTAAACTATATTAAATATTCACTTTTGATGTCATTAAGAGTTACAAAGAAACGTGAGTTATGTTACTTCCAAACTTCACTCACCTTCAAATCCTTATGTTTATTCAGAAAGGTCTGAACATATATGAGGGAAATTTTCAAGAAGAGTATGTGAAGTGGATTTTCTGTTTGATTTCCAAGTGCTCCAAGGCTGGACAAGGAGACTCCTTAGGTGGACACCAGAAACACCACTGAGCAGGGAAGACGACTCTGAAGCCTCTGGGTACTTGATTATATCTGAACAGAACAGAAAAACAAGTAATTGGTTACCTGAAATTCACAGAGAATTGTTACGGAGAAGGTTATTTTCAGCAAACGAGCAGTGTTACTAAATTTAAAGTTGGCCTGATTTGCTGCTCCCTGATTTAGCAGTTGTCATTTAAAATTTCATGTCATCATGCAGTCAGAATTGCATGATGCTGCTGCCTGCAGAGGATTCTGGTTGAATTCATGTTGCTTTAATTGGCTATTTTTTCCAAACATTGCATCAAGTGGTACAATTAATTAATTTTATTTTTGATATGCAGGTGCTACATTTTGGTGCTGAATTTCTTTCTAAGTCAAGGTTGATGAGGGCTCTTGGAAATATATCCTTATGTGAGACTCTATTACACCCTGTAAAAGATAAAATACGATACTTTTACTAAATCCTCATGGAGTCATTTGCTACTTTTGCTATATTTTCTTTCACATGAATACTTGTCAAGATAATTAGACATATATAAAAATATTATCCTTTCTAGACAATATGCATTCCTTACTCAGTGAAACCAAAGTTCTAGCACCTTTGCTGAAAAAGTTACTCAGACATTGTTAATGGCTAATGGAAAAAGAATAAAACATCTATTTGTAAAATTGGTAATCAGTGATATAAATATTCTCCTAAATGGTAGAGGAACCAACATATACAGATAAATGCACAGTCGGACATGAAAGGGGTGTCATGCACATACAAGCTCCGAGTATGAGGGGTCCCCCAAAACTGGAACTTATGTGTAAAAAACTATATTTATTCTTACATGTTTAAAGTTCAGTCACTTTCAAAGTACTCTCCATTTGATGCAATACACCCATCAAGACGTTTTTTCCACTGCTTAAAACAGTTTTTGAACTCGCCAATTTTGATGACTTTTAGTCCTTCTGCCATTTTTTGTTTCACCTCCTTCACACTGGAAAAATGTTTCCCTTTAAGGACTTTTTTCATCCATGGAAACAAAAACTAGGTTGCTTGGGCGAGAGGTGGAGTGAATAGGTAGGGTGGGGTATGGGAGTCACGCTGGTTTTCGTCAAAAACTGGTAAACATCCAGTGTAGTGTGGACAGGTGGGGTTGCAAATTACCCATCATGAAGTGGGCAAACACACTGAAAGAGTCTTCAAAAAAAATTCACTGAAGCCAAACGCCACCATTCACAACCATGCCAGCTGGTGAACTGATACAGGTGGATTCCTAGAGCACACAACTAGCAGGGGAAGTCAGTACTAAAAGAGGCCTGCTCTCCATAAGATAATTCCAGTTTTGGGGATCCCCCTTCATACACTGTAAAACAGTGGGTTTTTATGGAAGACTACTGCTTGGTCACTTAAAAACCATTCTCAACTTTTTTCTTTTTTAATGTGTCTCCCAAATAGATGGTAGGAAATCAAATGTTCACTCTCCCAGTGTTCCTTCTTATAGTTTATGGGTCAGAATGAGGTCACATGACTTCTGGGTAAGAAATTCAGGCATTTTTTTTATTAATAAATAGAGAAATTCCTGTTCCTCTTCTCCCTTGCACACAATTCCTTGCCTTGAATGAGGATGTGATACTTGGAAGTAGAGCAGTCATCTTGTGAACATGATGTAAACATAAAGTTCACAGAAAACCAAGGAATAGGCCCCTGTTATTGATGAACAGCTGAACCAACACTATGCATTGCTTCCTCTGGAGATGTTTAAACCATTGGGATTCCTGTTGTTTGCTAACAGAATCATTGCAGGTCAACGAAGTGTTCAAAAACCTCTTGTAAATTTTGCTGCAATGGTTCTAGTGACAGCTGTGTTTTCACACTGCATTGTAATCTGCACATTCTCATTCTGGGGGTTCAAGGGCAGCCTTCATTGTGAGAGAGGTTGGAACTTGCCTTCTTTGGACTCCTAGGAAAGTTGTGCTTTTATGAGAGAATGGGTCACAGAATGGTGGCAAATAATTAGAACAAAATGAAATGGAAAGCCAAGGTCAGAGCTAGGTTTAGAAGAAGAGGGTCCAGAATTGTGGTAAAATCTCATCTTTGCCTCCATGTCAAAGCTATCACATTAGTCAAAATCTCAGTGGAAGAGTTTGAAGCTCCACTCCCAAGTTCATTCTTCTTATTTTCTAAGTCCTGTGGATTCTCTGCAAAATACTATTCAAATCCATCATTTCATTGCCATCTTCCTTTCATCAACATTTCTTATTCAACCACAGTCTGGGCTTTCACTATTTTCTAGACTATTGCCATAGACTCTTTAACAAATTTTCCTTTTTTTTTCTTAAGCATTATAGTATATACTATTGTTAAGATTCAACTTCCTAAGACATTTCTTTGAGTCCCTCTTCTGCTCAAAATATAAGAGCTCCCTTTGGTCTATTGGATAAAATTGAAGGTCCTTAACTCCCTATAATATAGGCATTTAAGACTCCTTGTAATATAGATTCTTCCAGATTTCCCTTCTCCCTTCCTAACACTCTAACTGGTTTGGTGGAAAGATTTATCTCCACACCAGAGGTGCACCGTGAAAAGTTTAGAGCAATCGGTGTATCTCAGTTTTTACATAAAATGTTAGGGATGAGTGCATGACCTCAATAGGTCAAAGACCTCCAATGTGGCTTTTTTTTTGTTGCCCTATTATGTAAACAAGACAAAAAAAAACCCTTTCTTTCTGAAAATGGCAATATGAACATGTAGCCTCAAGAACTACTGGCAACCTGCCAAAATTTATGTCAACATCAAAGAAATAGCTGAGAAATAGAAAAAGAGAAACTGGTTTCTGAGCATGTTGTTTCACCCTAGACAGAGCTTTTTTTGCAGGTGGAATACCCTGAACTTTTCCATTTGTGTGAATTTATAGATTCTTTTTCTTTTTTTTTTTTTTTTGGTTAAGCCAGTTTGGCTTGGTAACTCTGTTACTTGCAACCAAAAAGATCTTTGTAATTTGTTTATTTATATTTTTATTGTGTAATTGCCATTTCATTCACTTCTACTTCTCTTTGTTTTTATCTATAGTCTACCATTTTTTCATGATCTAGCCCTCCGCATCATGACTTGTTTTCAGATGTTTCTAATTCACAGTGAGAGAACTCTAACCTATTTCTCACTGCATAAGAGAGCTCTCTAAGGTGTATGATACTCTCATTTGATGATGACCCTTAAGTATTATCCTTAGGCTAACTTTTTCTTCTCTTATTTCAGACTTTTGTTTTTAACAAAATAGTTGACGTCTCAGCTATTGGATGTCTTTAGGTCTCCCCCAACTGAATTCGTCTGTACTGAACACACAAAAACCTAGCTCTCAAACACAGCTCTCTGCCAGCATGCCCTGTGTTTGCAAACAGCACCATCAGCTGTCGGTTGGATGAGCCAATAAAGGTCTTGGACATTTTAAAAAGGATTCAGATTCTTATTTTTCCTCTCAACCTTAGTATCTGATCACCAAATACTTTTGATTTTGTTTCCTAAATACTTTTCAAATCTGTCTACTTTGTCTCTTTTCTTTTATATGCTCCTTTTCTCTCTCCTCCTCTACTACCACCAGCACCAGCACCCGTCCCTGCACCTTTAATCCCTTGCCTGTTGCCTGGAATATTGCATGACTTATTCTTTTTGCTTCCTATCTCACATTTTGTTTTCATACAGTATATTCTCCTAATGGCATTTAAAGTGATCTTTGAAAAATACACAAATGATCATGTCAGTCCCTTGTTAAAAAACCTTCAATACCTTCCCATTTGTCTTAGAATAAAGATCAAGGATTTACATCATCCAATCCCTACCTAACTTTCCAGCCTCAACTTTCTATAATACAGTGACCATTTCTGTTCTTAAATACCCTCATTTTTAAATACCCAGAATGCAGCAGAGTGTTTAGCACATAGTAGACACTCATGAAATATTTGTTGAAAACAAATAACTTTTGAACACAAACCATCTTGAATCTTTATGTTCCCTGTATGTTTTATTTTCTGAATTAAAAGTACATTAAATCCAAAGAAATGTCCTATTTCTTTGTCTCTGTATCAGGATGCTATGTACACAGTAGGGGTTCAGAAGGTATTCAATTATATTGATATTGACATTTCTACTTTGAATCCTTTCTAAAGGCTTAAGTTTATTCTCACTGTCGAATAAGTTATCACTTACCTATAAGATTAAGATTAAACAAGGGAAATATATTATTATTCTGTCAAAAATGAAAGTTAAAAACAGGAAACTTGTTTGTGATCACAGGTCTACAGAATTTGTACTTAGTTACAAAGGAGCTGTTCTGCATGACATGGAGAATCTTCAGATAAGCCTTGAGTTATGTGGACAAACATAACGTTTGCTATTTTGCTTTCATATTTTCAAATAGTTTATATTTCTCTTTATAAATCTTCAATCTTAGAAAAGGATAGGCAAAAATTCAATACTTTAAATCATTACCAGTGGAAGGTATTTTTTTTAATACAGAGATTATTTTGAAAAATAGTTATACCAAGTACAAACTAATTCCTAGTTATTGGACATTTGCCTGAAAAGGGAGAAAAGAACTTCACAGGTTCAAAGGTAGGCATGAAAGCTTAGCCTATGTTACATACTGACATTACCCAAAATAAGAGAAATACTTCCTAGGGTAGCCCAAAATAAGAATACGCACTGAGAGCCTGAGAGCAATGGAGGACAGGGCCGTGAGTGTATCGTGCTGAGCAGGAGGACACTGGGATACACGTTTCACAACAGCCTGTGACTGTGTTGCCGTGGCCAGATGATGTTTTCCAAGTTGGAGAATGATAGAATTATGACTGAAAGAATCTAGAGGGAAGAGAGGCCAGGGAATGGAAGCGCAGACAATGCAAATTTTGTGCCTGAGTAAAATTGTTGAGCAGGCTTAACCTCCTTTTACTTAAAAAACTAGTTGAAATTTGTCTAAGATATATTTATATGAGAGCTAATTGAATTTGAATTTCTATAGACCTGTTGTTCTGTTATAAATATCCCCTAGTTTTCCAGGGTCTTTAAT